AGCCGTCTGGGGTGTTGCGCTTCCATATGGCGATGGCGACCCACTTCTCCAGGAGTATGATGGGCCGCAGGTGGATGTCACATCATTGGAGGGCAGGGGAAAGCCAGGCACACAGCTACAAAAAAGTGGCCTTCTGCATGCAGAAGTTTTGGAGCCACTGCTGGTCATCCCATCGCTCCATGACCAGCCAGTCCCACTGGTCAGAATTGGTGTCCAGCCTCCAAAACTGTCTCTCCACTATGGTGTGTGGTTGCACAGGTCTTGCTCCTGCACCTAGAGAGAGGGTCCCCCAGATTGAGCTTGGGGTTCAGTGCTGCAGAAACTGCAGAAGCATGGATAATTAATTCTTGGGCTTTAGGTACTAACAAGAAAAGATGGAGGCATTCAGCTAATAAACTATTATGACCAAATGCCAGCATCTGCATGATTGGCAGCATAAAACTATAATGAACAAATTAAATATAGATAGAGACATAGATTATAGACATAGGGTTCGTCTAGACTACATGCCTCTGTCGCCAGAGGCATGTAGATTAGGGTACCGGACATAGTAAAATGAAGCGGCGATTTAAATAATCGCCGCTTCATTTAAATTTACATGGCTGCCGCGCTGAGCCGACAAACAGCTGATCAGCTGTTTGTCGGCTCAGCGCGGCAGCCATGTAAATTTAAATGAAGCGGCGATTATTTAAATCGCCGCTTCATTTTACTATGTCCGGTACCCTAATCTACATGCCTCTGGCGACAGAGGCATGTAGTCTAGACGAACCCTATGTCTATAATCTATGTCTCTATCTATATTTAATTTGTTCATTATAGTTTTATGCTGCCAATCATGCAGATGCTGGCATTTGGTCATAATAGTTTATTAGCTGAATGCCTCCATCTTTTCTTGTTAGTACCTAAAGCCCAAGAATTAATTATCCATGCTGAACAGTGTGTTCGCCCATCTTCTTATATACTGGATATGATATAAATAATGTCAGATTTATAGTCACCAAAATCCTTTATCAGCTAGTAGCACAGGTCTTTGACAATCCTTTTCTAGTTTATAGTAACATGTGACTTTTATGATGAATCCACTCAGGGCTTTGCTTACAGAGTTGAGGTGAGAAACCAACTATGACTGTAGTACAAGATTTGAGATTATTGCTGGCGTAGGTTAGATTAGTCCTCCACAATGTTTTTTGGGCTACATAGTGAGGCAGTTATGTACAGTGGTTGAATTCTAAAGCTATCCTCTTCTCCCAGAAACACTATTTTTAGTCAGTTCTGGATAAGGATATTATTACAAAATTCTATGGGTCCAAATCCTAAATTGTATTTAACTTGCAAAAGTCAAAGGATTATACAGATTATACAACCTGAGGAGCCAGCCCTGTATTTAAAAAATACTCTGTTGCCTACTACGACGGATAGGAGGAGTGTGGCCAGCACTCGGTGACTAAAGGATTAAACTCAGGAAGCTAAGAGTGTTGAAAGGGGGCCAGAAGAAACAATGGAATGCAGTGTTGAAATTTAAATCCTGCTGCTATTTCTCTTTGTGAGAGTTCTAAATTAGCAGCTGGAGGAAAGATGAAGTAATCAAACAGAATTACTATGCCTACAAGAAAAATTGGGCATGGGACTGGACTGGGCCTTGAAGTATGGAGCAGTACAAATTGTGAGTAGATAGAAATATGTATGTTTAGTTGAGATCTGGGTATTTCATAAATAATTCTCCAATTTCACAAAACATTTTTGACCATGACAAAAGGTGAATTTTGATGAGAAAATATTTCACTGAAATGTTCTTCCTAGAGCTTTAAGAATGGTCATTATAAAAGATACATTATTTCCTAACAGGATTGCAATTTTTCCTTTGGATCCATCATTATTTTCTTGGTACCCTTTCCTAGTTTTTTTTCTTCTGATCACTGACATGCCTAAAGTAGCTCTATGACACTATATGAAAGGCAAGATCTTAAGATTACTATCTTGCATACGTGTTCTTTACAAACAGAATTAAATCTTACTACTTGCCTGTGGGGCTATCAATATTACTAGCTCCATTTCAGAGATAGGGTAAACAAGCCACAGATGAATTGAATCATTTGCCAAGCTCATACAGCACACTGAAGCAGAACCAGGAATACAGTCTTAAGAGCTTGATTCCATAAATACGTATGAATGTGAGTAATTTTACTTTTGGGAGTACTTACATTGATGCCAAGAGGGACATCTCAGGGTAGTAAACAGTACATCTGGAAGCGAACAGGTGCAGGACCAGCCCCACGTGTATTAACATGCAGTTCCCAGTCTGTCACATAAAACCATAGCTGGGGATTCTTAATAACCACATTCTCCTATAAATTGTCTTTGGTGTAGGATTGTTTAAAAAGTAGTGACTTTAAAGCCCTGACCTGCTGTAGAGTCAATCCATTCTCTTAAATACGCATTTAATGAATTTCGAAAAATAATTGTAGTGGCCCAATAGCCCAAAACGATGTAGGATTTTTACAGTCTATTTTAGCAATATATGGTTCATGGTGTTTTAAAAAATGCAGGTTATTGACTTAATTATTGATGCCAAGGAGTCATTACAGCCTGTTGGGTAATTAAATACCTTTTCATAAACAGTCCATCTACTATATGCAGCCTAAATTTATGGACACTATGAAAGTTAATGATTCCTCTGGAACCGTTACATCAGCTCAGGGATGCACTTTGGGAGTACTGTTATTTTTTATTTCTGCTTTCCTATTAGTAGTAATGAAGAAATCTACAAGGTTTGCAGAAAAATACAGAAATTGTGCATGTATGTGTGTATGAGCATGAAAAAAAAACCTTAATGTGAAAGCCACCCAGCTCTTTTTCCTTTTTATGCCTTACAAAGCTAAACCAGCTCAATGAAAACAGATGGCCTTTGAGAAGTTCTGCAAATACAGAATGTAGCAGGTTGAAATTTATAATTTTTATTTTAACTTTTGTAACTGATTTATGACCTGGACTAGCCACATTTCATCCCTCTCCTGTGTAGCCATAATTCAACCCAGGTCAGCCTGACATTTATTTTGTAACTAATGAAAAATTTTGGATGTATCCATGTACAATATGGCATTGAAACTGGAAATCAGTCTGGTGCCCTCCGTGGAGACAGTTTGTAATTCAGTGATGACTTCAGCATCCAACCAACCCTATCTCATGACATTGGATTTTTCCCATCTTGTATCTGGATGTATTCTGAGAATCTTTTACTCAATAATTTTTTTTAAATGCTTTAGAACATCAAAGAGAATAATTTAATCATTAATATTAGACACCAAAAGTGCACAGCACTCAGAACTGATGCCAGATCTTCAAGAGTATTTCAGTTCCCAATAGACACCTTTATGAAATGGCCAAAACCTAATGGGATCTAAGCCCTTTATTTATGCTTCTAAAAGGGAGCTGTTGGGTGCTGCTCCCATATGAAAATCTGGTCCGAGATCATCTAGGGAATGGTAACTGGCAGACAGAGCCTCTCATTTTTAGCTTGCTAGTTCAAATCCTACCCACGTCTATTGTAATCAAAAGTTACCATCTGATGGTTGTTTAGTAGCCTGTGCCAAATGAGGTGTTGGTCTTCCTTATGTTCACACTACAAAACTGCCAGAGTGTTTTGGGGATAACTATTTGCTTTCTTCATAATTTTATAACCTAAATGACAATGGAGAGGAAACTCTTTCTCCCAATTTGGCAATGGGCTACATGCCAAGAAGATTATAATGCTGCTGCAGAAGCTGAACCTCTTCTGTGGATAAACAGAGGAATTTAGTGCTGAGGACTGTCAATCAAACACTAAAATTCACAGAGTAAAAATAGACAGATAAATCATAAACTCTCTCATCTTTCATGTACTGCCTGCTTTAGGAGCGAGCCATCACACACAAAGACTTGGCGTGAAATCCTTGTCCCTTGGAAGTCAGTGGCAAAACTCTCATTGATTTTCATGGAGCCAGGATTTCACCTTTGGTTGCTCTGAGCAGAAGAGGCCAGCATTGAGTTGGTTCTTTGAGCCTTTGAAAGTTTCATTATTATACTTCCATATCCCGTAAAGCAGGGGTGGGGAACCTTTTTTGGGCCAGGGGCCAATGACCCACAGAAAAATCAGTTGGGGGCCACACATAAGTGAGAAGCAAGAAGGATGCGGGGGAGGAGAGAATAAAGCGTGAGCACAGACTCCCCAGTGCTGGGGAGGGGACCCCCAGCCTCAAGGGACAGATCCAGGAAAGCTGGGGGCTGCATCTGGCCACTAGGCCTTAGGTCCCTCACCGCTGTCATAAAGACATGCTCAAATTTAGGCAGGAGTGTAAATTTTTGCAAGATCATTGTCCATAAAGAAGGTATACACTACACAGCACCAGTTCAGGAAAGCCAGCCCTACTCAAAACAGCACTGAAGCACACATTTTAAGCACATATTTATTGTCAATGCGTAAAGTTAAGCACATGCTTAAGGGCTGTCCTGAGTCAAGCCCTAACTAAAGAAAATGTCATTCTGGTATCTTCCTTGCATTATAGCAAAAGACAAAGCAATGACAATCTCATTAATAAATTGGAAATTTGATTCCTTTTTATGATTGTTATACAAAAGCTTTATATGACATGCCTCGAAGATTTAGGACCCATAAAAAAGTTGGTTCCACTCTTTCATTTCAACCACTTTCAGTCTATTTTGTTCAGTGCTTGTATACCTACCACAATGGGCTCCTGGAACTATGATATTTCGTAACGATGTGCCAAGACAATAAAATAAACCCCTCGGCAGAACCATTTTTAATGGCTTTTAGCTAGTCACATAGCTAACCACCTGACATGACTCAGATTGGAAATCCAGCTTTGTTAGCCGTAGTAATGGGCCTCAGAAAACTCCAAGTCTTTTTAAGGCCTAATTTTGATTCCACTGAGCTCAGTCACAGAGCTCCCATGGATTTCAGTGAGAGCAAATCTCAATGGGAAGGCTATGCTACACTTGGAAAATAACATGGAGTCAAGAGAATGGTGCCACCCGGTGAGTTGCTAAAGTGTGAATCATAATAAATGGAACATTTGCACGCAGTTGCAAGCACGTTGCTGTGTTTTCACACCAACAGTTGCATGACGATAGGATTTATGTTGCAATCAGAACAACGTTACAGATGTTTCCAAAATTCCGCCTCAGTTGGTGCTGCTTATCTAACCAATCCTAAGCAAAAAGCCTGGGCCAGGAGAGGTGAATATGAAATATTATTGGGCATCACCTTGTAGACAACTCCAGCAATCAGAGTGTATCGACTCATGGCGAAGTTCTGGTAAACGTAGCAAGAACCTTGTTCTCCACATTGGTCTTGCCACACCAGACATGACAGATCAATCATTGAGCCGAATGCAATGGGACCGGGAATGCTTCCTGCACGAAGATGGAACAAAACATCAGGTTATATAATGTCTCGCTCTCCTCCTCAAGGTAGCCCAAAGCACTTTTGAAACAAGGGGGAGGGGAGTTTGCAGGTACGGTTGCTGAGTAAGCTAACACCGAGGAGTCTTGTGGCAACTTAAAGACTTAACAGATTTATTTCATCATCAGCTTTTGTGGGTAAAAGTTTCACATCTGACAAAGTGGTTTTTAACCACGAAAGCTGATGCCCTAATAAATCTGTTAGTCTTAAAGGAAACCTCATTGTTTTTGTGGATACAGATTCACATGGCTCCCCTCTGAGACTTCATCTGACACTGCAATCCTTATGGCGGGGATTTTCAAAAGAGCCTAGAGGAGTTAGGGACCCAAACCCTGCTGGATTTCAGTAGGAGTTAGGTGATTAATGCCCAAAAGCTCTTTTGAAAATCCCAGCCTATGAATTCAGCAATGACTAATGTACTTATCTAGGGCCTGGGACAGCATAACCTGTTTTTTTTCCTGGAATGAGCAATTGCCCACTGCTATTCTTTACTCCTTTGGAAACATGTTACAGGAGTTTTAGTTTTCCCTCTGACAGCCAGCATAGCATAATGAGATCTCATTTCAGTGCATGACACTTATAAGAGTTCAAATTCCCCTCACCGGTAGGCCCTAACGGAACTGTTGGTGTCCTTGAGCCTGACTTTACCAACTTCAAGCTAATGATATTGTATGAAGCTTTGCTATTCCACATTACGTTATCTCTACAGTTGGGCGAGCTATTTGCAATGAACAATATGGCTGCAAAATTGAGCTCTTTTCTCCTGCTCGCAAGTTATGTGCAGACAGGATGGAATGTTTGTGAATGGTGCAGGCAAGTGAGAGAAAACATCCTTCCCTCAAACGTCACATTTCCCTACTCTTACACGAGCTGCATTTGGCCCTTAGACACTCCTGCGAGCAAGGTTTTATAAATACAACAGGAAAGACATACACATTCATGCCATACTCTACCTAGAGTCCTTACTACAATCCACTGGATTCCGAGAGCAAATGATTTCTGTCGGTCGGAGACACACCTAGAGGACACAAAGTTAGCATTTAAAAATGCTGACATAAAGCAACAGCAGCTTCCCAGCAGCATAGATACGAGCCTCTCCACAGCCCATAATACCATCTAACAGTGGACTCTGCTGATAAAGGGATCTATTTTCAGCCAGAATGTGGCTCATTTTCCCATTTTTGTGGGCATAATGTGTACCACCAATATTTGTGTCCACACTTTTGGGCAGTAGTGCAAATCTGGGTATTTGCCTGTCTGTCTACCTCACTGAGGGCCAGGCCTGTTGACGGGAGGAGGGGCAAAGGGGACATTTGCCCCAGGGCCTGGTCATTCAAAGGGGCCCAGAGCTTCAGGCTGCTGCTGCTACTACTGCAGCTGCTGGAGCCCTGGGCACCTTTGAATTGCAGCGGGAGCACCAGAGTACTGCTCCGTACGGCTCTGAGGGCTGGGGAGGACCAAGTGCCGCAGTCCAGGAGGCGCTAAAGGAGCTCACAACTGGACATTGAGAACTGGGCCATTTTTATCAGGCCCCGGACTCAGCCCCAAATGCTCAGCTACAATGAAAACATATTTGTTCCATTACTTCTGGCTGAAACGGGGGCCTTGTATTACAACAAGAAGGTTTTGCTGCTTACCGTAGAGTTGCAGTCAGAGCAGGAATACTGCTGAGGAATGTAAAGAAAATCACAACGAACATGAAACACAGAAGGAGGTTCCTTCTGTCACAGGAGGAAGTGCATTTTCCTGCTCTTGCTTGGGCAGAACCCGCGGGACCATTCTCCAGGATACAACTACAGTTGTGGTAAACCTGGGAAACAAACACCTAGTAAATTTCCCAAAGAGGCAGCGTTTCTACAGTTGTCATTTGGGCCATGACTACAATTGCACATGGCGAATCCCAACAGAGCAGCTGGTTTTACAGATGTCGGTTTGCTCCTGGAGCAGAGTAAGGCAACTGTACTAGGGCCAAGAATTTGGCCTGATGCCTGTTTCCAGTGGCGATATTATCACATCAGGTGTCAATGAACTTCACAAGCTTGCACTGAACTCTGGCAACATTAGTTATTGTACAGTGTGAATAACCTCAGACATGCTCTCCCCTATGTGCACAAAATATTAATAGGAAGGTGAAAGCACATAATGGGACAAACTCTGCTCTGAAAATAGGATGACGACAAAGTGCGTTTTGCCCACGAAATCTTGATACTTTATATATTTGTAACAAAATACAGGACTATGTAGCACTTTAAAGACTAACAAGATGGTTTATTATATGATGAACTTTCGTGGGCCAGACCCACTTCCTCAGATCAGAGTAACACGGCTACATTTCTATCACAATCAGTCATGTTTTCAACAGCTGTCCAAAAGGGCATCCCCTCTCCTTGAGACAGGGGAATCAGACTTTCTGAAGGAAACACCGTGTGTGACCTGGGCATTAGCCTGAGCATTACAGGTTTCCCTTGTGCATCACCCACTGTTCACCCACCTACCCTCCTTCCCCCGGGTGTTACTCAACCTCACTGCACTCACCTGCTGCTTCATCTCCAGCGTCAGATGACACCTGGGAGGCCTCTGGGGTCTGTGTGACTGGCTCCAGGGTGAGGGTCGCCGTCTCCTCACTGTCCTCCTCTGGCATCATGTCCCCGTCTCCAGACTGCTCTGGCGCGTCCACCACAGCGTCCGCCAGCGTCCCAGGATCTGGTCCAGCTCAGTATAATAGGGGCAGGAGTGGGGGGCTGCCCCAGAACGGGAGCTATCCTCCCTGGCCTTCACATACCCTTGGTGCAGCTCCTTAACTTTGGAGCGAAAGAGTAATTAAAAAAATTCACTTTCACAAATGGAAAAAAAAATCTAAACACCACAAGGTGGAACTCAACATGGTTCTACTGATGGAATTTCTGGGGGTGGAAGATGAAGAGTAATTTTTAAGTAATTTTTAATTGTTTAACATTAAGAAATGTCAATATAACTCTTACCAACATAAGCTTAATTTAACCTCCTTATTTTATGATCACCTTTAGTTTCATGGTCATATCCTATTTTTCCATAGGACCTGGGTCTTATTCAATGGGTTATGTATTTATTTTTTTCTATGTGTAGCCTCAGGCCTTATTTAAATACATACCAGTCACACCCTGACCTAAATACAAAATTAGTAATTTTCTCCTAGGCATTTCTGTGGTGCAACATAGCATTGAGGTTTTCACAAACAGTAATGAATTTATCATGCCCCAGATTGTCCACCAGGGCTTATTCCTTATTCTGCAGACCAGGGGGACGGGGAGCAAAGCAGAGCAAAGCCGCGGAGTACGTCCTGGAGGCCATTATTTTCGAAAAAATGGCCTCCCTGCGTTCACACTCACTTATTTTCGACGGATCTCAGTCGAAAAAGGCGTTCTTCCTTGAGGTTTACCGCCGTCGAAAGAAAAGCCGCGTTCTTTTGATTTAATTTCGAAAGAACGCGGCTGTAGTCTAGACGCAGGTGACGTTTTTTTGAAAAAAGGCTACTTTTTTCGAAAAAAACCCTGAGTCTGGACACAGCCCTAGGGAGCTTGCGGGAGCTCAGTCATTGGAGATTTTAAAGAGTAGGTTTTACAAACATCTGTCAGGGAAGCCCTTGATGGTGCTAGCTACTGCTGTAAGTGCAGGGGACTGGCCTTGATGATTCTTGAAGCTCCTTTCAGTTCTATTTTTCTATGAGTCATCCTTCAGCAACTCAGTGATGTAGCCACTGCACCAAATCTGGTTTCAGTCTTTAGGGTAATTTTTATGTATGGATTTTAGTAAGTTTTGGGATTTCTCTATTGTTAGCCATTTCCTGCTCATTTAGCTACATGGTGTGTTTCCTGGGAGAGTAGATTTTCCCTCCCCCCCACCATTGTTTCTGAATACCCTAGTATTTTTCCTGTCTTCCTTAGAGTAGTCCTAGAACTTCTGACAGTGGCCAATGTCAGGTGCCTCAGAGGGAATGAACACAACAGGAAACCATCAAGTGATCCACCCCGTCTCCCATTCCTAGCTAATAGAAAACACAGGGTAGGGACACTATCCCTGCCCACCCTGGCTACTAGCCATGATACACCTATCCTCCATGAACTTAGTTCTTTTTCTTTTTAACTCTGTTCTAGTTTTGGTCTTCACAACGTTGTCTGGGAAGAAGTTATACTGGATGATTATGCACTGTATGAAAAAATACTTTCTTGTGCTTGTTTAAATCTCACTGCCTCTTAATTGTATTTGGTGACCCCTAGTTCTTGTGTTATGAGGAGTAAATAACATTCTTTATCATAGGATAGTAAAAGTCACCAATAAAAAAGGACTGCCGGTTCTAATGGAACGAAAACACTAAAGAATGAGGATTAATGGAAAATTAGGGTATAAAAGACAGCAGAGAGCTGAAGAAAAATCAATGGCTATACCAATAAGTCTGAACTCCTGATAAATCAACAGCAACAGCAGCAAGTACTTAGGGATACATCAGGTCAAATTTATCAGGGAAGTAAGCAGTGGTGTAAGTTGAATGTTAACTGTAAGTAAATTGATCAGAAAAGAGTACAAGGTGTCAAAACACTTCTAGAGTCCGCCAGTCTGGGATTCAGCATACACTGTTTTTTTAAACATTATTCACCAAGAAGGGAATGGTAGGGCCCAATCCTGTTAGCAAAGGCCCCACCCCATTACACTGTGTGACAGAGCCATAGTGAGCCTTCAGCCAACATTCAAAGCCCTGTTCTCTTTACTCAGCTACCACTCTGCTGTTCCATTGGGCCACCACACCTTCCCTCCTACTGATGTACACTGTGGAAAGTGCAAAGTAGCTAATGTTAAGTTTCTAAAAGTGCCCACTGCATGTCACCCAAAATGACAATGTGAGCCATGTCTCTAACCTTCATTGGCACAGCTCGTCTCAAAAATAATCTCAGTGCTGGCACGGCATGCCTCAGGCATCTGCAAAGCTTGGCACACTGGACATGCTGCAGCTGCAGAAGCGGAGAGACATTCTGCACAATACTCCTTCACCAATCCACTTCCCCCCAGCTATGATGAATACGCACAGAGGGGAGATTAGATCAGCCGCTTCACTCAGATAATGAAATGGTCTTTGCCACTCCATTTTAGTCATCTTGCTGTTACTAAGCAGATTTGACATGGCTGATATTGGGATTCAGTTAATGTGATACTGAAAATATTTTAAACCAGAAAGTGAGTGTGAACGGCATTCAAGCCCATTGGAAACTATAATCATTAGACTATGGTATGCACTCAGCTTTATTCTGTTATTTCTGATAAAACAAACAAAAGTCTGTTGGAATGTGTGTAGCTATTTCATTTTCTCTCGTTGTTTCCTAAAGAAAAGACTCAGTACTTTCACCAGCAACTGTTACCATTTGTATGTAACCTGACACTTTGTTCATAAGAACTCTATGTATGATATTCTAAGTCCTGTCCAGGGCCTTGATTCAAACTGCTGTAAAGTCTGTGAAACCCAGAATTCCAGATTGGGTATAAAGAATGAAAGTTACCCTCCTCTAGAGAGGCAGTGTCTCCTCATGGTTAAATCAGGAGATTGGCTGCCAGAATGCCTTCTAGTCATTGTTTTGTTTCTGATTCACTATGGACCAAGCCAAAGACCACTTAAATCAAATGGAAACACTCCCTTTGACATTGCTGGGATTTGGAGCGGCTTCTGGATAATTTTGGGAATGTTAAGGGATCATACTGTGCTTCCGTTTGCCCCTCTATATGACCTTGGGAAAGCTAAAGAACCTTTCTGTCCTTCATTTTAGTATTTGCATAAAATACTTGCCTATCATGCTTGTTGGAGAGCTAAGTAGGACACTGACTGATCTTCAGATCTGGTTTGGTATCATTTTTTTCTGTGTCTTTACCCACTTAAACCTAGAAATTTGCTGTCTGGGGAAGGCAGCTGCCATTTTATGTTTACTTCAAATGTAGCTTTTTATGGAAGATACACACTGTGGCTCTAAAATAACTCATCTACTTCAAAAATATATGGCTGCCCTTTGTGTGAGTCAATGCAGCATACAGAATCATGCAGCATAAACACGACATATATTAAACAACATTGTCAATAAAGTTGAATAAGCCATTACGTTTGGGAGCACATGTTTGTGACTAAGCAAAGTTGACAAATATCTGAAGCTAACTACTGTATTTTGTCTTCTTTTCAAGGGCTGTCAATCTTATTCATAGCAAAGATATGCACATTTTGTTGACCAACCACCTTGCTGCAATAATACATGTAACTTACATTATTGGGCTGAGGCCTAGAGAACCTCATACACTCAGGGCTAGTGGCAGATTTCACCATGCCCTGGGGGAGCTCAAGTGCAGGCCCCTGGAAGGGGAGGGGCCTCAGGCAGAAGGGGAAGGGCTAGGAGTTAGTCTTCGCCACTCCACACTCCAGTAGCAATTTAAAGGGCCCAGGGCTCTAGCTCTTGCTGCTACTGGAGTAGTGTCAGCCTGGTGCCCCAGGTTCTTTTAAAATGCTGACCGGAGGGCAACTGCCCATTTGCACCATTCAAGTTGACGGTCCTGCATACATGCAATGGAAATCAAGCACACAGACTAAGGGTGCATCTAGACTGCAGGGGTTTTTGGAAAAAAGTTGCTATTGCGTTCTTTCAAAAGAAAATCAAAAGACCGCAGGGGGTTTTCCGACATTGGTAAACATCATTCTATAGGAAGAACGCCTTTTCCAAAAGAGCTCTTTTGGAAAAAAGTGTGTGTGGACACAGAACAGGGAGGTTTTTTTTTTAAAGAAGAGGCCTCCAGGAAAAAGCACAGGTGCCCTGGTGGCCACTGCGTCCATAGTAAGCACATTCATTGTGAAAGTTATCTTTTGATGTGCTTTTGCTGTCTGGATGCTCTCTTTCAAAAGAAGTTTTTTTTGGAAGATATAGACGTACCCTAAAAAAGTCTGCAATCAGGAGGTAGAGGGGCAGCTCCAATCTAATCAATAACGCAATTGCTTTCATGTGTTATATTATTCTGTTGAGGTCTTCCAGCTGGATCATAATAATAACAACTAATTAATCATGTCAAGATAATATTTTTCAAAAAGTTGTTATGAATGTGCAAAGAGATGCATGTTGTTTTTCATTAAAAGTTCCATTTGGCCTTGTTCTCAACTATGCCTCATAAGCTCGTTGGGTTTATAAAAGTCTAAACTGCTAATGCCTTTCCACTTTTACGCACGTGGGT